AAGGCGGCCGCCAGAATATAAGCAAAGTAACTAAAAATCCTGCAAATAACCGAATAACCGAAAGGATGGAGTGCAAATGAGGAGGCTTAAGTACAATCAGCAGTGGGTAACTAAAAGCTGAAGAAGAACATATACTATACAGTAGTCAAATTTCCAGCAACGAAAAATTAATGATTTGATAAGGTTTGCATAGTATTTTTTTTAATAAAAAATTTAACCAATTTATCGAACAACAAATAATACAATAGGGTAGAATAAACGTTTATTTACTACATCAGTTAATAACGCATAAATTTGTTAAGCAAATAACCTTCGCCGCTGTGGACAGATCAGTGTCAAGTTTAAATGGTCGGTGCGAGACTTTATTGAATCATAAATCTGAGGTGGAATACATAGCTGCTTTCGAAAAGCGGATGCACGTACTTTTGTTGCAATATAGGATGAAATAAAAAGTTCGCTGGTCGCACCAGAGATAAATAAAATATATTCTATTGAAAAAAAAATCTAATTTGTGATAAAAAAATATTAATAATTACGTTGGAGTTCCATAGGTCATTGAAAGATTTTTTCCTGAAATTTTCTTTTAAAATTATTTGTTATATTTATATAAGCTAACCTGCAGAAATATGGTTTGACCTTCATATAACACAAAACAGGATCTTGTCAATTGAGCGCGATACGTGACTGGTTGAGACAGGATCTATCACTAGGTGGTGCTTCACCGGCCCCTACAATCTTATCGGAGTCGTTCATTGCGAGGTCGTTTGAACATACATAATTGTATATGTTCCACCAGAGTATATACTGGTTTTGTACGCACTGGCGTAACCACGGGTCACATGCCACCTGAATGTGCAGTGAATCTGTTAGACATCCCGTCGCCAGTTATGTCAAGATCAGTCACCGAGAATATATTGAACCATGATGCATACAATAAAGTCTTGGATGTAATTTTAGTTTCATACCCAAAATTCGTGACCAAACTAATGTTTGTGTGGATACAAATACACGTGTAATAAAGAAAGTTACATCAAGTCTGCAACATAAATAAGTTTTGTTTTTCACCTTGCATCATAAGCACACTGCCCCCGAACAAAGGCTCGATATCTTCAGGGAAGAACTGCCTGTGGTCCATGAAGTGATCGAAATCCTTCACCGTCAGGTTCTTAATCAGCTCTGGGTCGCGCACCATGATTATCGGTGTGGTTGCCTCGATGTAGCCGACATATCTGAAACGGGGCATTGCTTAGTTGATCCGTATACTCTCTATGGTGTTAAAAGAAATCCGATTTGTGCAAGCAGCAAATCATGCATTTTTTTTAAATTTATACAAACAGGAAAATAGTTGTACTTCGGCACAACCTACCTAATGGAAGTGATTACCACCGGCAATAATACAAAAACTACGAAATTATATTTAGAAAAATTACATATTTATGCCATTAGGCTGGTACCAAACGTAACAAAATATAAAGGGTACATTAGTTTTATTTTATATAATTATTTTTCTGAAGGCCCGTCCACCCTTCGCCATATTGGCAATGCACTTACTTACATCCCCTCAGAGTGAATAAAGGTTCATTAGACATGTTCGAGAGTACCAGGGTGAACCCAATTAGAGGGCGAAGTGACGGGCATGACCGAACATAGTCGGATAGAGAGAGAGAGATTTTTTAATTTGTCAGGTTGAGAATGCTGTATGATCTTAAGAGTCCCGTACTTATGAATTTGCTAGATCTTCCTACCCTGGAAAATGTTTAAAATAGGCAAACAAAGAGAAAAACAATGACAATGATCTGCAACAAGCTTATAGAACAACTCGTAAGGTGCGCTAGTTTCGTTTCGTGGCTTAGTTTGCATAGCGTCTGCACAATTTGTTAGAAGAAGCTGGTTCGAATCCATATGAATCGAAATCATTTATTCTTAGTGTTCATCTTTCTATTATTAATTATAACAAAGTAGTGGAGTTTCAGATAAATAAATAATCCAATATTAGTTTTCCTGTATCTCATATGGTTTCGGATTTTCACATACTGTCCCAGTTAAAAAGACACACTGTATAGTTATTGGAATGAACGTACTTCAAAGTGATTTTAATTAGGTAAGTATTTGGCTGTAAAAAACGGAGGAGATTTTCAATTCGATTGTATTTTTTGAATGTCTGTTACGTGATAATTCCGGCTAAAAATTTGTGACCCGATTTTGATGATTGGTTTTTTTTTGGAAAGAGAGAAATAAAGATAATTCCACGAACATTTGAGGTCGGTTTTTTTAGCACCCTGTACTGAGATTATCTGCTTTTACTGCTTCTAACTTGTTGTGACTTGTATTCATTTGTTATCACCTGTTGTACGCACAGTATAAGTTTATCATAATTGACGATAAACGCACTTAAATGCCGCATCATGTAACATTTGGACTATTCATCTCTAATACCACGATCATTATAAGTCCCGCTGTCGGGCACAGCAGCTTGATTTTGATTGCCTCTCCCGATCGAAAACTGCGTCTTTTCCGAGATGAGGCGATTAATATCGATTCACAACTGGCCGATCGGAAACTTTTGACATTTCTAATCGGAACAATAGTTAATTTAATTCACAAATTAGAAAGATAATAGTAGGAATCAGGTTCAGCTACTCGCTCGGAAACACATCTGATTTGGAGCCTACCCGATCGGTTCGATTCCAGTTTGAATCAAAATCAGCATGCAGGTTTCCTCTAATGGCTGGTCCAATGCGGGTTGGGATTTTCACACGTTTCCCAAAGTTGTTTGACGAAGGTTCTCGTCGACTAGCAAGTTTCATCGCGATGTGTTTTTGCTGTTAGCGAGATATTCCTACTATACATTCATAAATGTACTGAACTCAAATATTAAAGTCATAAATATATGGCGCTTAATTGGTAGTTGAACCATTGACCTCTTCCATTCTAATATTGTACTCAGTTAAAACTAATTGACCTCAAGGGCGGGTGCCTCGGAAGGATAACATTTGTTTTCCAAAAGATTCAAGAGTTTTCTATTAACGCTCATCATCATACATAACTCGACTTCGACCCACTGCTAAGTATAGACCTCCTTTAGTTTGCGCCATTCACCATGATCCCGCGCTAGCCTCACGTAACTATAGTCTGCAACGTCGTCTACCCATCTCGCTGTAGGACGTCTCATGTCTTTTTTTATTATGCTAAATGACGGGATGAACAAGTCGTGTGCGTGATTGTAAGCGACACGCCTGTCCATAGCAGTTTCAGTGCCACTTAGTGTACAGTGAGCTTTAAATCGCAAAAAGCTGAGGGGCACTGCCACTGCGCCCGTCACCCTCAGATATAAAAGTTAACAAGTCCCATGTGACTGTTATTCTCTTTCTGAAAGAGTTCGTCGGGGGAAACAATAGGACCACTTTACCTATTTCTGGCGCTAAGTAGTAATGTAAGCATTATATGTTTTAACTAAGTCCAAACTCATGGTACCACGTTTTCGTTTAACTAACGTAAACGATTCTTTTATGGGGAACTGTATACGTTTTTACAATAAGATTCCGGAGAATATATTAAGATTATCATTTCCTAAGTTTGAAACTTACTTTAAAAGTTATAATTATTAATACAAAGATCGAACACTCAGAAAAAACACTCAGAAAAAATTCCTTCGATCCGGTCGGATACGAACCGACGTCTTCTTGCATACCGTGCCAGACGCTATACCAACTAAGCCACGGAACGAACCAACGGACCTCACGAATTTCTCTATGTGCTTGCGTCTTGTCTTTGTACTTGGTCTTTCAACGACTTTTTAGTCGTAGCGCCATCTATGAGAAATCTATTACAGATTTATCACCCAGTTAGTACCTTTACAGCTACCTGTCCTGGCGAGAGATATCGCTATTCACTGTGTTAATTAAATTTTTATTGAATTGATATTCAAATTCGTGAAAAAATTCGTGAGGTCCGTTGGTTCGCTCCGTGGCTTAGTTGGTATAGCGTCTGGCATGGTATGCAAGAAGACGTCGGTTCAGATCCGACCGGATCGAAGGAATTTTTTCTGATTGTTTTTTTCTAAGTGTTCGATCTTTGTATTAATAATTATAACAAACTAGTGGAGTAATTTCACAAAAAATAATTGAATATCAATTCAATAAAAATTTAATTACTTTAAAAGTGTTTTTATTGAAAAGTCATATCACAAAATTGTAAACTGCGTGTTAGATAAAGATGTATTGAAAGACAACGTGAGTCTAGATTCCACACAAATATGATTCAAAATGTATTCTATAGCACTTAAATTTATTTGAAAAGAGCAATCCCTAGAGTTTCTTGCTTGTTCTTCTCAGGGAGGTCAGCGTAGTGAACGAGCGGTAGCTTAAAAAAAATGACATTTTCACGTGTAACAATTTTATCTATGGAATAAATAATTATTTAACTTTGACTTTGACTTTGAAGAGTAACGGTGCTGGTAAAATTACGGGCACGAGGAATTTGCCAACTTACGTCTCAGGATGATGGGCCTACTGGCAGTGCCCTTCAGATCTTTGTAATTTAAAGCTCGAATGGCACTGCTACTGTTATGGACAAGTGCGTTTCGTATCACCATTTTGTATTATAAAAAAACCAAAACGCAGAAATGCTCACATTACTGTTTGGTAGCAATAATTCCCTGGACAATCTCTGGAGTCCTACTGCCACTGTCATGGTCACCATTCGGTTACCGCTTACCTCCATAATAATGTCACGAAACAGATGGAGTAAAGAACATGTCAAGAATGAAATCTAATAATAATGTCCTAGCTATTTTAGCTTCGTTATCCGATCTCCTCGATCCGGTCGGTGAAGAAAAGCCCATGGAGAACCTGTGACTTCTCCAACCTGCATTGAGCCAGCAGAGCGGACCATGGCCTAAATCATCTCTTTACGGGAGACCCGTACCGAACAGTGAGCCGTATAATCGGTTAAAGATGATGATGAAGTACAGACTCGTATCTTTCTACATTAGTTTTCATTATAGTGATCCTCCCTACCGACCCTTAGGGTATACGACAAGGGTACTATAGCATGTGTGCGCATAGGAACTGTACAAGTTCAGGTTCTGACTCCAGATCAGCCAGTGTACAGGGTTGTCACAGACCTCTATCACTTGACTTGATGAGTTTCAATTGTTTTAATACCGCTTTCGTTATTTCCACGTGTATCGGTCTTTTCAGGCGATCGCCTATTTCAGGTAATGTTTCAAATCAAATATACTCACTTCTCATCCGGGAAAGCTCTATAAACGGCATCCATGTCTTCGAACATGTGTTTCTTCGTTATTGTACTGTTGTAGGCATTGCCGAATAAAGGCCAACAGGGCACGAATTTCACGTCGTTGTTTCTAAACCTGTCCTTTGCTAATTTGTGTAAATAAACAAAATAAACGACGAGGAATGTTATTAGGAATACTAACAATTCCGCAATCATTGTGAAAAATTAAAAAAAAACAATTCTACACTTTGAAAAAGAGACACTTGTATGTGAAACTAGCGCAAAACAAATTTTATTTTAAAAAGAACAGTGAAAAAATATCACTGACATCCGTGTTTCTTTCGTAATATGTCGAAACAGACTGGCGAAATATAAAATGTGTTTCAAATGTTAATGCTTGTAATAACGTCATAGTCATGAACAAAGCGATTAATTTACAATAATTATTGCGGTTATAATTAATAATCTGTTAATCTGGGCTAGCCAAACGTTATCAAATATGGAAATACGGAATATAATGAAATAATTGTAATGGTTATGCAATATTCTTACACATTCAAAAGAAATGTAGTTTATTTGCAGATTACAGTTCTTCTATTCAGCCAATTGATAGATCGGAAAGAAGTTTCTAGTAAAATTATATTGGTGCGCTATTTGTATCAAATGTATTTCTATTCATGGGTAATGAAAAATCAATATATTTTGCAAGATTTTGTCACAATTGCTATTTGAAAATGTTATGAACGAATATCATTTGACCTAACTATATATTTCAAAATGTACAGAAACATATCAAAGAGAACTTTAAAACTAGATGCGTAAGGTAGGATCAAACTGCTTAATTAAAGTGGATTTCGATTATGACATTGCAGCAATATATTAAAAATGATTGCCTGCTGTCAAAGACCTTCATACAATCTAAATATAAACGTAGATTAGTAACCAAGGGCAAATTTGTGTTGTTGTATGACGATTTCCCTTTGTTACATTGCAAGCGTTATCAAATCTCTGGTTTATATTTATATAGCGTTACTAGGCGGATTGTTGATTGCTTACCAAGTCGCAGCGGTCTTGAATATTTGACGTAATTTTAACTTTAGTTATCTTTTTTCTTTTCAAAATTTGAAATTGTATTTTATTAGTACATGAAATTATTTTTTCACCTCACTAGCTATTCGATTTATAGGAAATGAATAGGAAATGAAACTATTTTTCCGGATTTAAATCGCGTATATTTGTTTTTTCAAACAAACCGACGTTTCGGGCCCTTTACAGGTCCCATGGTCACGGTTGACTCAACCGTGATCATTCACGGTTGACTCAACCGTGACAAACCGACGTTTCGGGTCCTTTACAGGTCACGGTTGACTCAACCGTGACCAATAATCAATTAATCACACAAAATAAAAGTACAAGTTGTTTTGCGTCACGTGCCATGAAACCCTCGCTATGCTCAGGAATCTAGGTTTCAATACAAGCACTCGTGGAAAACAACAACTTTGCAGCCTTACATAACAAATAACTATTTTTGGATCCAAATCGCGAATATTTGTTTTTCAAACAAACTAACGTTTCAGAACCTTATAGGTCCCACGATCTCGGCGGACTAAACTCAGTCAGCCGTGACCATGGGACCTATAAAGGCTAGTTCCCTTGCATATATCTTCCTTACTGATTCGATCTCGCAGTGAAACTCCGAGTATAGCCCTTTTCATTGAGCCTTCTTATAAGGCCCATAGTGAGTGACCACGTCTCAGTGCCGTAAGTCATCATTGGCACACTCCACAATATGGTACCAGAGAACTCTGAAATATTTTGGTCATTTTGATCGCTGACAATCAAACAACCTTGAGAAAGTGATTGTGGTGGATAAGGTAGAGAAGGAAACAAGCTCCGTGGCCAATTAACTTTTTTATTTACGTAAATTATTGAATATTTTCAATAATATGGTGAAAGAACACTACTTGACTTTAGCGTGACTTGAACAACTTAGGGATTTTTATGTTTTTAAATTTTATTTTTATAGGTGTTATGTGTGTGTATTGATTTTATTATTTTTGAATATATGTATATTTGTATTTATTTGTCGTTTTTCTGTATATTGATTAGTAATTCTTCATACACCGCCGTCTTTTTCCTGTGAGTTATATAATTACTTCCATCCAAATGTTATCTGGCAGAAATTGCTTAAAACGATAAGACCGCCCATTGTATTACCCTTTATTTTTAATTTAATTGTATTGTATTTGTTTCTTGTTTTGGTATACAATAATGAATCGTCGCCCATGGACGTCGACAGCGTATGCTTACGACCATTTGAAAGCCTTGTTGACACGTTTTTTTGAAAAACGCCGTGTCACAACGCAAAGGAAAACCATCCCACATCTTGCAGGTTAGACGAAGGAACGAACGTGATGCCTGCGTGGTCTAGCCAAGCATCCATGATGTGGAGATGGGCTCTACAACTTCGCGATGGAGTGATCAAATGACTGCCTTCACTGGCCTCCCTATAGCAACTGCCCTAATAGAAACCGAAAGCAGAACAAAATAGAAAGAAGTCATCCATATCTAGCCTAGCATCCATGATGTGGAGATGGGCTCTACAACTTCGCGATGGAGTGATCAAATGACTGCCTTCACTGGCCTCCCTATAGCGACTGCCCTAAGAGAAGCCGAAAGCAGAACAAAATAGAAAGAAGTCATCCATAAAGTCTCGAACACCTTTCGGGGACACGACATACAATTGACACATTTTTATGTAACAAGAAACGTACATTTGTCAGACAATGTTATAGAAATAGAAATAAATAATAATTCATTAGAAATGAAACTATTTTTACGGATTTCAACCGCGTATATTTGTATTTTTAAAAGAAACCAACGTTTCGGGCCCTTTACAGGCCCCATGGTCACGGTTGACTCAACCGTTCCCATGTCAGTCAACCGTGACCATGGGACATGGTTTGAAGAACTCGATAAATAATAATTCATTCCGTAAAAATCACAACGCAGTACACACACTTCTTATAAATACGACACATAATAAGAACTAAAACATAATATCTAAAACAAATGGAAAGGACAGCATAGCTCATTATAACCAAAGTGAAATAAATAATATGAATAACAAATGAATAATGCGCAGAACAGAGTGCGCTGTGATGTTTCGGAATCCGTCATCTACTCAGCTTATTGTCGTTGCATACTACGACGCAGTTACGTGTAAATAATACATATGACATAGAACATAGCTGACATTTAAATAAATTAAATACAAAGCGCATTATTACGTTATTTAATTTGATGCAATTGTAAACAATAGAGTACCATTTGTTTTATTGAAGATCTTAATGTTTTTACTACCATAAAAGTGATATTGCAATTAATACAGATAACACATCTCTGTCAGTCTTCTGGTAGCTATAAAGGTATCTGACTGAGTAGAAACTATCATAAGCGTCTCTCTTAAACCCAATACAAATATCTATAACAAGGACATAGAGAAATTCGTATTTGTTCGTGACCAAAGATGGAGGAGCGCCAGGGTTTTTAACCCAGGCGCTCCAGGTTTTAATCGGGTTAAAACCCATTATCGTTCAAAATCGTAGATAAAAATTATTTAAGTACTCCTAAATACTTGCAAATTCAGTGATAATATTATTATTAGAAAATGTTATTATTTGCTTATATATTTTGCTTTTCTATTGCATCGTTTCGCTTGAAAATCGCATTGAAATGAATCGATACAAAAAGTGTTCTCATATATGCACTTGAATCGATTTTCATAAAAATCGAATCTGTGCATTCCTATTAGTAAGTGAGAGTCCACAGGTTTGCAAGGTAAAATTGTGTGAAGTTTCCTCTTTTTCGTCTAATAAAATCTTTTTACACTGAAATTTCTAATAAGTATAGAATTATATCAAATTCCATATTATTTGGCGCGTGTAAGGTTTCTGCACGCGATTTCGGGCTGAAAATCCAGGCGGGTTGAATGGGTCTTAACCTCCACCTCTGGTAGTGACTCGATCAGTAAGAGCGATAGCCAAGATAAGGCAACAGACGGACTACAGTCGGATCATCTAAGTCTCTTTTATGTTCACCAGCTAAGCAAGATGTTTAAACCTTTCTTTCCGCTAAGGAAAAGACGAACGTTGACAACCATACAGCCAGATCTTGGGTACTTTTTCTATTGTTGGTTTTGAGTAGGTAAGCATACGCTAAGTCTTCAGTCACTCGTCTTCGGTGGGTCAAAGTCAAAGTCAAAAAATCTTATCTGGTTATCATATCCGAGTGGACTGAATACAGGGTATAGAGTTCCAATTTTGGGTAAAGTTCCTCACACTTCTCGTCGCAGTATCTTTCTCCTTTTTTAATATCTATGCCCATATTTTTGGGCGTAATCATGCCCAAAGAGGTTAAAAAATGCTTCCCAATCTTTTACCAAAATACTCAAAATGATTTGGATTTATACACATAATATATATTATATTTATTGTCGAGTATATAAAACAACAGTCCATCACACTTATTGGTGTGTTTTTAAAAATGTGTAGCATGGCCGCAGCATCGTAAGATGGCTGATGTCGTTAGCGGGCATGACATGGGCCGATAATCCGACCCAGCCACCGATTTTGTGCCACGCAGCCGCTAATATGTGAGATGCGGCATTCTCTATAATCCAATTTTTAATATCTAAAATAAATGCATGCTTGGCCATGATGTAACTTGATGTTGAGCGATGATGATACAGACGACGGTACGTGTTTGTTTGATAAATGACAAATTCACTCTCGCCTTCAGAAGCATTAGTTTTCGAGAAATACAGACGGAAGTAGGAGAACGGTTGATTATCCGAGAGTCCGATAGATCAAATGCCTATGAGAAATTGAATCATTTGGGGATCTTTAGTAGCAAAACGGTGAAGAAAGACATCGTGGTGAAACCTGCAAAAAAAAAAAGGTTCACAACTCATGGAAATCGTGTGAAGTATCATGATTTTTATAAAATGTGAAATGGCTGATTATTATTATTATCAGCTTACACGCATTCACTGTTGGACATAAGCCTATCCATGAGCACGCTAACTCTTTCCAAGGTGGTCGGACGACCTTTCTCAGGTAGTACGTCCATCTTGCCGCAAGGCATTCTAAACTACGTTTGCTCATCTAAACCTTGTTCACAATCTCAACCATATTACACGACAACGACCACATTAA